ATATATATATATATACACACATACACACACACACACACATACATACATATATGTATATGAAAATATGAAGTAAACAATATACCTATTCCTTGTAATCAATTATCTTGAAAACATGAAATTAGAAATATAAAATTGTATACTTTCCAGATAAACTACTGATTGCTACACTGAAACCGACACCATATCAAGTATTTGACGTGTCAATATCTATATTTATGCTTATGCCTGTAATGTTATTTTATTAATTTAACGAATATTAACTTACATGTTTAGATGTCAGTTCTGTGATGCTCTTGATGAGTTGTCTTAATCTGTTGGTGATTTTAGCAGCTCCAGTTTGAGAATCAAATAAAGCCGGCAGAGCAGTGAGAGTTTTCTCCACAACATCACTCATTTCAGCACGACAACACAGACAATCAGATTATGAGACACAGTCGAGACCATACATAAAGATGAGTGCACTACAGCAGGACAAATACCTCTACAACACCTACACTACAGTCAAAACACAGTATGCAAACAGAAACCACCATGATGACTAGACTTTCTCGCCGCCTACAGGAAGTGCGCTGCTGTTTTCATAATAAAAGTCCACGAGTGGTTTTACAGTTGCAGGAGTATTTCACCGAAACAACAACAATAATAAAACTAATAATTTCACAAAAACTACCTTTTAGAAGTTTAGCCGTCTTTATATCAATATAGTTTTAATTATTACCTATCTACCAGAACGCTGTTCCGTCCGGAGAAACGCGGAGCGTGCTAACTCTGTTCTCATGTCCAAACAAGATGGACACGCGGGTGCCCTTTAAAACGTCCCACACGTTGATGGTGTAGTCATTGTAGCCTCCAAACAGCAGCCTCCCTACCGAAAGATATTAGCATAGCATAAACAACAAGCTCCTTCAAAAAGCAAATCAATCTTGGTTATTCTGGTAAACATACAGTATATATATATATATATATATATATACTCAGTATAGAAGGAGACAATAAAAAATGTGGTTGATACTGGAAATTAAAGGTTGTGTGCATTACATTATGGTATACAGCACTGTTCCTAGGGCATTGCTAGAGTATTCTGACTGGTTGTACAACATAAAATATTACTTGTAATATGTTAATATTTCAAACAGTGTCAGTTCTTACCGCTGAGGGAGAAATCCACACTAGAAGCTCCAAATATGATGCTCTCTTTGGAATAAATGGCCACCTCTCTGTCTGCCCTCAGGTCATAGAGACGACACTGTAAGTATAGAAAATAAAGTTAGAATTAAATAAATTTTTTTATTATTTAACTACAGTCAAAAGTACCTGTCAAAAGTTTGGAAACATTACAATTTTTTACATGTTTTTAATGAAGTCTCCTCTGCTCACCAAGCCTGCATTTTTGTGCTCAGAAATACAGTAAAAAGAACTGTTTTCTATTTGAATTAGTGCTGTCAAACGATTAATCGTGATTAATCGCATCCAAAATAAAAGTTTTTGTATACATAATATATTTATGTGTATTGTGTTTATTTATTATGTATATATATATAAATACACACACATTAAATTTTTTTCTGCTGTAAAGTTGGGCATTTTAACATGGGGAGTCTATGGGACTGACTCCCTTTAGGTGCCAGGCTCTAGCGGCCAGTCGATGAATTGCAGTTTTAGTCACTTCCGTGTTGGTTTCACGAGAGAGACCGGAAGGTTGCCGCTTGTGTGTGACACTAGTTTGTCAATGGAGGGTTCGTGTGGCTTGTGTTTGGTATCAGCAGCTCAGTTCCCACCCCTGACACGAATGTGTTTCCGGTCTCAGAGGGGGCTAGATCCAGACACAGCACATCAGCCGCGTGTCCATGGAAGCTCTGCAGCATCTGACCGCTCTCTGCATCCCAAAGAGCACACGTGCCGTCACCGCTAGACGTCAGGATCTAACGCAAACACAAAACACACCACAATCGGTCAAATGCAAAACACTGTTTCATTATTTCACCATGTATTCAAGCATACCTGCATATCTGAGTTAGTAAAGCAGCATGCGGACAGGTAGTTGGTGTGCATGGCCACTGATTTCTTCTTGGCGGCAAGGTTTTCGTTCTTGTCCAGGGATAGAGGGTACACAGAGCACTTATTGTCCAACCCACTGCGAAACAACGTATCAGTTAAAGGTGCAGTATGTAATATTGACAGCTAGTGGTTGAAATGGGTACTGCAGTCCAAATGTAAAACATTGAAGAGAGTTGTTTCTCTCGCCACCACTCATGCGGGTTGCCATGTAACAGGAACGAGAGCAACTGACAATGGAAGGTGAAGTTGATGAGTTAATTTATCCGTGTTTTAATATTTCTCTGGTCATAGAGCTTTTTAGATGAATTGTAAGGCTTTTTAGGTCAGGTAGAATCTGCTTGCTTCCATGGCTGCATTACGCTGTGTTTTCCTCCAACTGGCAACCCAGGGTGTTGAAATCCGATTGGGTAAATTGGTAGTGGGCGGAGTCACACAGACCAAAACAAAAACAGACATTGTGACACAGAATGCACATTTCAAAGTATAATAACTGGCTGTAGAGTAGTTTTTCTGAGAAACAAGTATGTGAACTTAGCATGTTTCCTAAATATCTGCAAACATATTATGCTGTTTTTATGCTTTAGTACAGTGAAAAAATTTTTTATACATCACCTTTAATCAAATAAATCAAGTGAGCATAAAGATGAAGTTAGCAAGCAGTTCTCCACTAATATTATCTCCATATTTTTGTAATTAAGGTTTAAAGTGTGTGACGTCTGTGCTAACTAGTGGCACTAAATGGAACTACAAAACAAAATATTGTTTCCTAAAAACTCCTAAAGCTTTCTAGCCTTTACACTGGTTGGAAAAGCATGAAGTCCCACCCCAAATTTATGCAATTGGTTAAGCCTGATGTTTATTGCTTAAAGAGAGATATAATGTTTAGTGAAATGTTTAGAAAGAAGCCGGAGAGCCCAGAGACTTACCCACAAGCCACTGCACATCCAGAGGGGGCGTAAGCACAGGCCATGACCCACGTGCAGGGCATAGTCACCGCATGCTCCTGTCAAGACATTTAATATATATAAAATATATTAAAAGCATGGTTATTACAGCTAAAATACAAAACCATAAAAATAAATAATGTGTTACTTGAAAATAAAATGAAACTGAAAATAAATAAATAAATAAGCAAACATATTTTATTTCAGCTAAAAGGTAAGGTAATTATTTTCAGTTAGTTTACCTTGATGTATTAAAATAACTTAAACTAAATAAAAATATGCAGACTTAAGAAAAATAAAACCTAAGACACGTTACAAAAACACACAACACATTTTTTTAAAAATAAAATAAAATGCAGATATAAGAATTAATTCACAACATTAGTAAAAACTATAATAGTATGTAAATTATATTAAAATAACACTGATTATTAGTAAAATTAAATTAAAAATCAATAAGGTTTGAAACAGAAGCTAAATAACAAATTAAGCTACACTTTATATAAACATTAGTCAAAAGCATACAGTACATAATTTTATAACAATTATATAACATGATTAGTAACTAATGTAATAGGGAAACTATGGGGGGAAATGAAAAGGTATAGGATATATCCCTAGAAATCATGGAAATATCACTATTTTGAAGTGTCAGGTTTATTTTACCTTATTTGTTGTAAAGGCATCCCATACAATCACCTTTCCATCCTAAAATACAGAAGAAAATTAAATTATTATTGATAAAAGTATTGCATCAATTGCCAAACTGTCACTGTGAAAGGAAATTACAGAGATCAATACGTGATATATTTGATGTATGTTTTTATAGACTGACCTGAGATGAGCTGACGATTCTCCTCTTGTCTTTACACCAGTCCATACACAGGACTTTATTTCCATGGCCTTTCAGGGTTCGCCTGGTCTTCATGACAAACTGACCCAAAGCCTCAGTCTTCTCTGCCACTTGATGTACTGATCGAAAAGCCACAACATTTTGTTTATTTCCTGTTTTTATCCTTCATGAACATGCCTGCAGATTCCTACATTACTAAATTCTGCTGGCAGTAATAATTGCTTCTTATCAAACCATTAATGAAAAAGCCTTTAAAAAAAAAAAGATAAATAATAAATGAACACACTAACAAATGGTATTAATAAAATGTATATACAATAAAAATACATGTAAAAATCCTAAATAATAATAATAATAATAATTGGATAAAAGCGTCTGCTAAATGTCTAAATGTAAATATATAACACAAAATAACTAAATAAAAACAAATCAATTTTAAAAAGCGTAAACACGGAATGAAAATTCTCATTATGAAGTCGTTTTTAGCAGTGTTACTGTTATTACAGTAATCAAAATATAGCTTAAATCAAATAAAATGTAAATGTTACATTAAAAACGTAGAACCAGAAATGTTACTTTGACAACTAAAAAAATAAAACAACAAAACAACAAAATTAAAAATGACAAAAGCACATAATAAAAAAGAATAAAACAAACTAAAATTAAAATAAAACTGAAAATATAAAACTAAGAACGAATTCAAAATATTAATACTATAATAGCATATGAAATAACACATATTCTTGTAAAGACTGACTTGTTTCTCCGAATATCATAATGTGATGCTGAACGGAAAATAAAACGCTCCCTTGTCGCCACCATCATTATCATCATCGCCTTAGTGAAACCCGATCAGTTTATCTAAACAGCTGATGGCTTCTTCAATCAGACTGACTGTAAACATCGCGCTACATAACGACAGCTATGATCCTGACATATGTCTTCATTAACACACACACACACACACACACGCTCTTACGCTCGACATCGTGCAGCTTGGCTCTCTCCTCCTCCAGCTTCGTCTTCAGCGTCTCGGATTCGGTTTTGAGCGTCTCCAGAGTGTCGCTGGGCTGCGAGGCCACCTCCTGCGCGGCCATTTCCACCAGAAAACACGAGATTCGTGGAGGAGAGGAGTGTTTTGATGGAGAGAGACGGAGGAGAGCCTGGAGACGGAGCGGCTGCCGTGACGTCATGAAGGACTCTCTCTCTCTCTCTCTCTCTCTCTCTCTCTCTCT